TTTGCGATTTGCTACAATGCGGGAAATAAATAACCTACTCAACGTTTTTCTTTATATTTTATCGTGTAGGGACTAAAAGGCCAAGGGAATCGAAGGCACGGCGCTCAAACCTTGATATTTGTGAAATAGGAACGCATGTGCTTGAATCTTGACACATATAACATTCGAATGCGTATGCTTTGAGTTTCCATGGCTCTGTAGTCTATGCACAATTGTTTTAGAAGTCGTGTAAGGATCAAGTTGTCAATAAAACTGAAGGCACGTGTGCCCAAAGTTTGGTATAAACACATTTTGTGCCCCATACTAGTACGTTGGGATATCATTTTATCCCCCATTGCACCAGACTTTCCTTTATATTCTTCCTTCTTCTTTCTGCGACGATTTATTTCCTTTAGGCACATCCTTTTTAATTCCCTACTTCACCTTCCGTGTCGCCGAGTTTCCTCTTAATACACTTTTCATGAATCGGAGCCACCCAAGGAAACTCTCAACTCTAGATCCCTATGATAACCGGTGAATGAAATTTGAAATTAAATACTAGGGGCACTTTTCAGCAACTTTTCGAACGGGTTATTCGTGTCATTCATTGAAAAACTGTCTAAATTGATTTTCCACTTTGCGATAATATTGAAATTCGCTCGACGTTTGTATACAAGTTGTGTTTGATAGTTTTGCTACGAAGCCAACCAATGCTTTATTCGAATATTGCGTTTTCTTTTTCAGTAATGAACGCTTTATTCCGAGCTGTGACGTTTCGTTATGAACAGCTAGAAAACGAAATAATATTTGCATGAAACTATTATTAAATGGCACCGAGTAATTTATAGCTTTGGTAATATTTATAGAAAATTCTCAGTTCACTGAGAACTGTCGTTCAGAGTTGGCTATTAGCGAAAGTTCGATGAAATCAATATCGAGTTTTAGAAAGGCTGCTGCAATCAGATTATAAGCTAATCCCCAGAAGTTTAATTCAAGAGTTTCACCGATTCGAGGTTTGCAGGACCGACAATACCTGCGCAGCTTCCACAACTTTACAATTTCCAATCATTTTATACTTGAAAAATAGGTGAAAAACAATTAAGATTAATTGTATTTTAGTTAATTGCTTGCGAGTTTATTTTATTTTCAGTAGCAGCCGTTTGAATATTGAAAATGGATGGCAACGGCCACACGATATTGATTACTAACCGTATCAATCCTATTTTAAATGAAAGATTTAAAAGTGATTATTAAACTCCATAATTCTATTATTTTTGGAGGTATAGGCATCAGGATGCTTGTCAATCGTGATAAATTCGGTTATTCGATATGCAAAGATATTGCAACATTCTGGTCTGGCGAATGCTTTCCGAAAGGAACGGTTTGTTTCAAGTTTAACTCGTTGCAAGCTTCAGCGAGTTCATAAAACTTTTCCAGTTTCACCCTACGAGAGCTGTCTCATCGAGCGATTTTTCCTGTCAGTCGAGACGATTAGAAATTGTAATCCTACCTAGAAATGCCAGCAATATCGAGAAACTTATAAAGGAACTTGCAGTGTCAAAGTTTCAGTTCTATTGTTTCTCCAATGAAAAATTGACAAAGTTCAAGACACGCGCTAAAATATTCATGAATAACTCTTTGTTGTTTGGTAGAAAGGTCTCGATTCAAAATTGCCCTCCAAGAGGAAAGCAAATGAATATTTTTTTTAATTAAATTGCGAAGCTTTATATATTTGATGAAATTTAATTAAATAACGTTATTATTTATATTAATTGTGAATTTATTAATGAATTTACTTCTTTATTGTGCGTTTCCAGTGAAATTCAATGAATATTATTTTCAATTTTCATATTATTAATTAATCTTCACCTTACTGAGCTCAAGAAAATATTCATTTATTCAGGTTATTACTGCTTAAGAAAAGTGTGTTGCTAAATCGTTCTCCGCTTTTGATTCGCAGGGATTACGGATGAAAATATGAGAAACATGTTTGAAATACATTTTCCTCGATTCAAGGTCAGCCGAGAACGAACGAATATTTCTTGCAAACAGAACTCGTAAATTTCGATGCAAAAATTGATTCTATCTGGGTATCCTTAGGCTGCATAATCAGAGAGGTTAGGCGAATACGAACAATTGTTGCGGTGCACGCAATAACACATTATCGCGTGTTTTCTCGTTAATCATTCTGTCAAAACCACAAGAAATGAATTTCTATTTTTAAGGGGCGACCCAGTTACTCGCCGCGGCTTGCTGAAATTGTTTTATTGCTTTCAGATGCATGAGTGCAGCTGCTGGACGCAGTTGCAACTTTTTCCTCTAATCTTACCCGTATATCCCGATACATTATGCTATGCGGCTTTTTCCCATCGACGAGGAAAGATTAAAAAGTTTTTTCAGGAAACGAGGAAAAAGATTTGAACCATTAGAAAGATTCACCAGGAGTGTGTAATTTTTATTTAAGATTTAATAAACATAAAAACGTTTAATGTGTTTCTCTCCTCGATACACGTCATTGTCAAGGCCAAAGAACAATTGAGCTAGGAAATTGTTATTAGGGAGTCTAGCGAGCTTATCGATACCTAAAGCCTTGTTGAGCTGGTGCTGGTGGGGATTAAAAAAAGAGAATTCTTCATTAAAGGAGCGTAAGTTGGCTCCGTTTATTGAGACGATATATCCGCATCGCATCGGGATTTCTCTTTGCTGGAAACCCCCTGGGAAATATGAGTGTACTGGACGCTAATGGGGACTGAGTCATACCCGATGTTTCAGCATTGGTAAAACTGTCTACCCCTTAAAGAAACCCCTTAAAAAAGATGTCTCCTCCATAAAGTGACGAGGAATGAAAGGGTATCGTTTGAAAACAAATTCTTATTCAACTGTATATGACAACTGTATGTTCCCAATACTTTCTCTTTTGAAAAAACACAATACATTCAAAATACATTCTTTTGAAAAAAAGGAAAATTTTTCTCAATAAAAAAGAAGGGGGAAAAAATCGTCACCTATTATGAAGTTTCCTCGTTTGCTCAAAACTGAGAGAAAATCGTCCTCACGTCATGAATGGCTCGAAATGCAAAGGCTGCGTCGGTTCACAGAGTGCACAATGCACTCCTCGATGATTTGTATGCGCTTTTGCAGCGATGCATTTGGCAACACCAGCGCTACGCAGTGCAAACTGCAGGCATTTTCTTTCTCGACACGGGAACGCTCTGTTATTTTTCCAATGTTACCCCTCGGCACCGTCTTTCTCCTTCAAAACGTTCTGGAACCTGTGGGGGATGGCATTAGAGGGTTGAAAGATGGCTTTAACGGCGAGGCCGTTCAAGCAGTTTGTTCTCAGTAAGCCAAAGGGAAATGCATCGATTTTGTTCCAGCTGTAGACTTTCTCTATTGAAAGCGATTAATAAGTGGAAACGCTGGATTATTCTATTATTCCCTACCTCCCCATTCACATTCGATTTTAGGGAGAGGAGTGTTGGAGTCTCGAACGATTGCTAATATTCAATATTTTCTTTAGGATTACTTATCCAAAACATCAATTTCAAACCTTTTACAATTTCAAATTTAAACTCATTTGAATCAATAACTTTATTTATTATACAAAATATGAACATGAATACGTTAGATAAAAAATAATGTTATTGATATCAACCTCAATATGTGTTCGTTTTCTTTCATTACTCCGTATAATTAAATGAGAAAATGTAGGTGATTATAAAGAAATATGCTCTCTGAAAAATATAAATTAATTGAAAATTCTAGGGATTAAATGACAAGCGCTCGTTTCGTGCTTTTCGCGAATTATTTAAGTGATTGCTTTTCTTCCAGATTTTAATTAAACTTCTTCGAGAATTCTTCCAGAATTTTGTTCTTGTTTGCCACGTCTTCGAGCATTTTCTTCTTGTTCTTCTTCTTTTTCTTTTTCTTGTACAACACTCATTTAAATTTTTTCTTCCGTTTGCGTTCTCTTTTTTAGTAGTCATTTAAATGAATGGATTACCTTCTTTTGTGTCTAAATTTAAACGATTACCTCGTGTCGTCTTTATTCAAACGTTTCTTTCAGCCTTTCATTTTGCGGGAATGTTTTTCTTCGTTGTCTTTGTACACGTAATACGTAAGCGCTTTACTTTTTCACGTCCTCGGGGAACAAAATTTATCTAGATTGTGATTCTTTCTTAACCCATTTTTAATTATTCTTTTATACATTATTAACGCTTGTGTAATCAAAATATTACTCCTTTCATAAAGCCATTTAGTAAAAAATTGTATTCTAGTTGTTAAAAATATATGTGAAATATCCTCTTTATGATAAATAATAAAATAAAATTTGGTAAATTTAACTCGATAAAACATCAAACGCTAGAAATCAGGCAGTTACGAATGTTAAAGTGACAAACTGCAGAAACCGGGTCAATTTGTCTTTAACGAATACAAATTTGTTGGTTCAAAATCGAGTATGCGATTCGAGGGTTGCGTAAACCCGCGTTAACCGCTGTAAAAACACTTTTAGGAGAGGTAAATTCCAGCGGTTAAAAACCAGCAAAACTTTTACCTTTGTAAGACTACACTCTGGAATAACGATTCCATTGTCTTAGAGAAAGTTCACACCGTCTGCGAATCCGTCTCCACGTGACGAATGCAATCGCCTAAGTTCCGATTTCCTATTTAACGAACAACCCTCGAGTTTCGATAATGCGTTTGTTTCTTGTGCAAACTGTATCACGAACGAAGAGAATGGGAGAAGAAAGCCGAGGAAAACTTTGAGGATAATTAAACATTTTTGATAACCCTCAGGGACTTTTTGTGAAAGTAAATCAGTGATTCTCAACGTCCCTCGAATGTTTCACAAAAATTGTACAGCATATCAGTTAGATATTCTAGTCTTAATTGCTTAATTATAAGATTGTTATTATTTAGATACTAACATACCGAAGAGGACTAAAACTTTAGTTGCAAATTTGAATATTAATATTTATATGACAATGACTTTGACGAAACTTTAATCTTTGTTGTTGCAGGTGGTGAGAGCCGCGAGTCCAGTCCTTCTACGTGTCATAGTGGTTGGTGCATTTTTCATATATTGCACAGTAAGTGTTTTTTTACATCTTTCTCTATTTTTTCGTAACCATACAATTTGTATCATTTGTATCATCAGTCTCTATTTTTTTCTAGTTTTTCGAAAAATGTACTAATCCATCCTCAGTAAACGGATGCCATTTTATTCGTTATAAACCATTTGTGCATAAATGAAATTAATTGAAATTTGTGCCTGCATTTTACAAAATTCTTTGGAATGTATACATTTATTTTGGATATATTCACTGTAAGCTCATTCAATTTCAACTTTTATGAACAATTTATGCATAAACGAAATTGATTGAAATTTCTGCCTTCGTTATTTTTTAATGTAAATTCTTAATCTTCCTATATTCGTTACTCGTGTTACTTCACTTGTCATTAGGTATTTGTGTTTGATTGAAAGTTTTAATTAAGAAATAAGTGCACACGATCACAAATATATTAATTGTCATATAAATTGATTTATATTTGCCATTATAAACTAAACCCACATCATTCTTAATAATAACAACATTCCCTAAATTCTTATGAAATTTCTATCTGCGTTTCACGAGGTTCTCCTGAATTTAAATTCTTACTCCTGGTATATTCGCTATATGTTCGCGCTATTTCACTTGTCACGAGACACTTGTGCATTCAGCGACAAAGAAAATTCAATTCCACGTAAAGGGAACCCGTTCGAAGGGAATCGAGTTCGCAATAAACATATTTCACTCGTCGACGGTGAATTATAAATAGTTGAAGGAAATCAATGTTCTTTGTTTCAGACTATAGTAATGTACCCCCGTCCAAACGTTATAACGTGCACCGTGAGAGTTTGGCTGAGAGAAATTGGATTTTCTCTAACCTATGGCGCTCTTATGCTGAAAACTTGGAGGTGAGTAACAATAACAAACGACAATCAACTTTCAAGAAACTCGGGCAACTTTTACAAAGTCTAGTGAACACTACAAGGGAGTCGGAAGCAATCATAAATGAAATTTTCCAAGACTAATAAGATTTAAGATTTACAATAAATTCAAAGTAAAATAGTCGTTAAAGGTAACAGTATTTACTGTGACGTCAAAAATTTTAACTGTAATATTTTTCATGGAATTTTTCGTGACTTGAAATAACCTTAATCTTAACATTGAGGCTTTCTTTAAATTATAAATCGACAAAATTACTGTATAATTATTCTTCTTGTGGTTCGCGTCCTCTCCAATATATGTAAACGTTGAATATTGGAAAAACATATAACAGAATTTTTCAATACTTCGATAATTTTTCAGTTTTATTAAGCCCTGAAGCAATAATTCTCCTTACTTGGAGCAATTCGGATTAAAAGTGGAGAGCTAAAGAAAATGAAAGAGACATAGCTAGGGATGAATCCAATTTTAAATTAAAACGTACAAGATTCTTGGGAAATAAAATAACAGCAGGACCTGTGTTAATGAAGTTACTAAATCTAAAGTCATCCCTCGAAAGCTAAATAAGCGTTCTCGAACAACGTCACCTTCAAATAAATGCAGGCTAATGGGAATTATAACAAAGAAGTAAATTTAATAAAAATAAAAAATGACCAACACTGTACTATAAATATCAAATGTTTGCACCGATCCCGATGAAAACTTCACAATCACTTGTGTACACCCCGTTTGTACGTTTATTTATAATAAAATGATTTAAAATATAATAAAATAATGCAATCGACCATTAGATTGTGAATGAAATATTAATCACCGGTTGAGAAATAAAGGTGAATTTCAACAAATGTGGAAACAAATGTTACAGGAATAAATTATGGTAACGCGGACGTGAACGGTAATTATTTCTCCGTCTCGTGTCACATCTGCTTAATCAATTCTAACCAAACGATGAGAACTCGTCGAAGTTAATTTAACAATCGTGGCGGAAAGTTTGTATGAAAAGTTGAACAATTTTTCATTCTACGTCTGAAAATACTTTCCAAACATTTCAAGCTAAATTATTATCGCATCTATGCCTCGATGTCTGTGTAATTCGTAAAATATTCGGGACGGACCGTCCCATTAAAAGTTGTCTGAACTATTTCTCTAAGTTATAAAATAATTTAACGAATTATTGCTAAAATGTACTTGGAGCAATGGCTGGTATAATTATAATTTAATTTGAATTTTCATAAACTCAAGTCAAATAAATTTTATCCAATGAATTTGAGGAAACTATATTTCTTCGAATATAATTTTCAATATTTACATATTTCATTAAGAAGAAACGTTTCATTATTCCAAGAGTATACCACTTGCGAAAGGAATTGGAAAGTTGTCGAATAACCCGCAATCTTCAATCCTGATAATTAGTTAATCAAAAGTTTGTGAGTAAATGTTGTCGCGACAGTAAAATACGAGCGAATCGATGACGAAGATTAATGGACTTTCGACTAGGGCATTCGTGTCACCGTTCAAATGAACTTCCTGGCCTTTTATCATTGGCAAGAAACTGCTATCTGACTTCCAAACTAATTTTGTCCGCAGTAAGCTTGGGTTATTCCCATGTTGCAGCTTTATACGATCCTTCAAATTGAAATCTCACAGGAGCAATGCGCAGCCTCTCGGTTCTGCAGAACGACATATGAATTTTTGACGACCTTTGTAAAGTGAGCATTAATCCTTTCCTCCAGACACCATTTTCGCTCAAGCAGACCAGCCACTCCATTCTATAGTGGTTTCATGGAAATTGCCCTCTTTACCATTATTTACCATATTTTTTTTCGTGAAACATATACTAATACTTCATTTTGATAACAATAATCATAGCATTCGATTTATTTTAGTCTCATTGCGTAATGTCCACTGAAATAATTGACGATGAAATGCAAATTTGTGAAGCGTCAAAGATAAATAGTACTGTCAATACTTTTTCATGTAATTAAGGGTGGCAACCTTTGGACTAGGGTGTCCAAAGAACTGAGGATTGTCTCTTTCGTTGACCTTTCAAAATACGAGGATACTTGACATGCGGCTGAGGTCAGCTTCTACTCTAAGCTAGAGCTATCTCGACAGGACAAATCCTCTTCTGGACCCAAATCTTTGTTGTGCCAATAAGGGAACGTCAGAGAGTCGACAAAGTCTTCTTCCTGGCGAGGCATTCCACTCAGGCAGACCAGTCCTCCGTTGGTAATCGGTTCAGTGTCCATTCAGCAATGCGCCTATTAGAGAAGGAGTTGCACAGCCGAATTTACGTAATCAAACTCGGGAAAGTCATAATGTCGCTTAAGAAGTTCTCGTCGAGTTTCGAGGAACTCTCAGCCGAAGTCGATCTTGTTTCCTCGATTACACAATGAGTCAGTCTTAAGACCAGAACCCTCCACCCTCGTCAACTCCAAATCTTCTTCGTTGGTTTCCAATGGAAGTCGAACAAGCTACCTTTTGTATTTAACCATTTGTAATCCAAATTTTTTAATTCCGGTAACTTGTGGAGAACTCCACAGTTGCCCATACAAGGTTAAATACAATTCCTCATCTATCACACAAACTTATCTTTCTTCTGAATATTGTCTACATCCCAGTATATTTTTCTTTGTTTCAGGATATCGGTGATATTCAGAGTGAAGTCAGCGAAAGCTGTGAAAATAACTGACGGCAGTTTGCTGAAGCGATTGGGTGTTATAGTGATGATATTCAGCGTGTTCCTGAGCATTCGCACCTTAGTGGCACCACCTGTGGTCATAGTCGCCAGGACTGCTGACGATCTGAAGGCCTACCTTTGCCGGACCGATTGGTGGGATCACAGTTTCACTATACGTGAGTGACCCAACACATGAAACCATTTAGGTGTGGATGCTACCTTTATCGTTCCCAGTCTCTCTTTCAGTGGACTTCCAAGTGAAATCTAATTGTAATTGGTTCGAATGGATTCGAATCACTGTTAATTTTAATGAATCGTTTGACGTCGAACTAGAGCAAAGATTAAGGTAAAACCACATTCACGCTCGAGTTTGTTTTGAAGTTCTGTCCTTTGGGTCGAGTATAGCAGTCAAGTTCCTAGTTTCTATCCCTATTATCAAAGGAGGACCGAAATTCTTCGGTGAACCCCACCGAAAGAGATACAGAGGAGTAGCCGTACCGTGGATGTTCTGGCACAAGTTCCACGGGATTTCCTTTTATCCTGTGACCGTTCCCCTGGCATTCCTTGGCGCGGTGAAACCGACGACGAAAACTAGAAGAATTGAATGTGAATGGGAAAAATATAAGGTTTCGAGAAAGAAATTGCCAAGGAAGATTTCAAAGAGAAAATCTGGAAAAAGGAATCACGCGAACTGAAAAGGAGTCGGAGACATTTTACGAAATATTATTATCTTTCGAACCATTCTGTTTTCGCGACTTAAGAGATTGCGCGTACTTTGATCGACTCGGAAGTTGAGTAATCTTTAGAATCTTTTCCCTAGATGATAATCAAGTTTGTACAGCAACATTCAGATCGTTTATAAATATTATTTTTAGATTTAACTCTGCTCTTGATTCATCTGGTATTTCATTTTACTCTGGTCGCGTCTCCAATTTTTGAAAGACGAATGTCTTCCTTGACGTCGACCAATGAGCGACGAGATCTCTGATTTCTGAGGCGATAGATTTATTTCCACAAGCGATAACCATTCGTCTGTTCCCCATAAACTGGTAATTTTTTTTCGGGAAATACCGAGCGGTTAAGGTGATGGACTGCCGTGCGGCTTTACTTCTGGGAATAACGCCAGCGTTTTAACAAATAGAAGCTCTCACGAGTGGAAGGATTGCTCTCCTTTGGCGTGTATCCAATGCGAAACGCGCTGAAGTTTCACAGGACTCAAATTAGTCATGGTTTAGATCTGAAATTTGACAGGCCTGACTACAGCGCTAACTAGGCCATTTTAGAAAGGTCTTCTACTCTGGAATCTTTGGTCAGCTTTGCTCAGTTTTGTAGAGTTTTGATCCACCTTTCTTCGAAACATTAAACCTATCACTTAATTTAAACAAATATCAATATAAAGCATAACAGTATTACTCATTTAATTACACTTTTGCTAATCTGTGTAAGTGACGGAGTGGAAAGGCACAGAATTGACTCCTACACCTGAGATACACTATTCATTGCAAAATCTGACTTTAGCAAGCAAAGCTTCGTTCGACGTTTTCGTTCGGAATAAATTTAGCAGAGAGGACGTTTGGGATTGTAAAAAATACTGCAGAGTAAGATCGAAGTTCCTCGTCCAATCTTCCCCGCATGATAAAACGTCTCATCCAAGGTATGACGGGATTACCTTCGAAAAAGGGGTCACGCAATTAAATTATGCAGGGAATATGTGCTGATTTACGTGACACTCGTGCGATTACGGTACCTGCCGTACGTCGCGGGATTCAATGATTAAGGACCACGTCAGAAATGTCGTGAATATTAAGAACTTTGCCAGGTCAGCCTCGAATCCTAAATGAGTATTTCGAAAATTATCGTAAGATTTATTTCTATCATACACAAGCATTGAAAATGACTAAATTATTAATCTTTAGGACGACTCCAATTGAATTGAGAACCTCCTCCTGTTGCAACTGCATTTTAAAGAAGGATTTGAGTCATCTTCGCATCAACATATACTGCACTCTAATTTGAAATTCACAAAGTTCGCCAATATTTATATTCGATAGACACATCAACGAGAAACGGAGAGTCTCGAAGGCACTAACTTGAACGATAAAAAAAAAATGAATGATTTCATGGTTTAATAAAACACATTTTGGTGGAAATCAGCGATCACGGAACGTTTAAGAGCCACACCACCAGGAGCCATTTGTCGTCGGATAGGCAAACGTGTTCGGAATTCGGACACGGCAGAAGTTCCTCGGGAAAGTGGTTGGAAGAATTTTTCTCAGTGATCGTTAAAGGCGTGGAAACGGAGGAGAATTCCTGGTAATTCCGTAGGACGGGTCGATGCATTGAAATTCCAGAAGTTACTTCACTCCTAAGAGAAAGAAACAAAAAGAAATTAGGAAGAGAAGAGAAAAGGAAGAAAAGGATGTCTTAAAAAAGAAAAGAAGCACGCTTGATTTACTTAGACGGAAAATCTGGAAAGCAAGAATAAAATTTACTAATGCGTAAGAGACGCGACGAGATTTCTACAATGTATCAAACAATCGAGCGAAGTGAAAATTCTCACTGAAATCCTTGATGATTGCTTCATAACTATAAAAATCGTGACAAGAATGATCCTTGAGAGTTTCTTTCCTTTTATTTTATTCGAGTACGTACGGAATAATGCATAGAAGATATACGACGTCGAACGAAGCTTTGCTTGCCAAAGCTTGCTTCGTTTTGCAGTGAGTAGTGTATCTCAGATGTACGAGTCAATTCTGTGCCATATTCAATCGATATTTCCTCGGCCAATACAATATTTTTCGTTTTCAAGAAGCACCGTGGAACTCTCAACTACCAACCGATCTTCATGAAAGGTTTCCACGGTACTCTCAGGGAGGCTCAATGCTTTTATGCGATTTATAATGATTCGATGGGGTTTCGCTTGAATAGCTGTTGGTATTTATTGGAATTATAATGCCAGCAAAACATAGGAGTTCAATTTAGTACACATCGAAGCGCTGAAATTCTGATTTTCATTCGCTACCGCCTAGCAGTGAATATTAGTGAATTATTTCCTGCAACGAACTCACCGTGTCACATTTATAGAGCCATTGCGAAACGTGTCCCATATCTTTTCCAACTTCTATCCGTACGTTTCTTATTCGTTAGTTGTGGGGAGAGATTCAGCGAATCGATAATTTATTCAATTTAAAGGAGCAACTGTTTACGAAATTTAATCAGTAATAAATAAAGAATTTTTCATAAAATTTTTAACGATAAATTCGAAGCTATTATTGTTTTAGGCGTGTTAAGTTTGCTGAGAAATTTATGTTGGCTCTGTGAAATCGAGGAAGTAGAAAGCAAATCGTATCCAACGGCGTTACTTTTCATTTCTCGACAAGATTAAGTATCATTTCTTTCGTTTTCCTTCTCATTTCATTCTTTATTTGCGGACGGCTGTGTTCGAACTGAGGGGTAGAATTTATTCTGATGGCGGTTCGTTCCAAACTTTGCCTATGGGAAATCACAATGAATTCTTTCCTCCTCGCTTCGCAACACACCGGAAGTTGGAATCTACGCGAGCTACAGTTTCGGTGGAAGATTATGATTTATACCACGAATCATTTTTAGACTGCGGATGTTTGTGCAAATTTATATCTTTACAGATTCAGGTAAAAAAATCAGATTTAAAGCAAAGAATATCTTACCTTCTAAACAGTGTAACATGTACTTTATTGTTGATATTTTATTCGTTTCATATATACGACTATTTTATTTATAAATTTTGGTCACAGAATTCCTCTTTTTAAGAGGGGGGCGACTTGGACAAAGTTCAGAATCCACTGAATAGAGGTTTAAAGAGTATTTAAAACTGAATTAATTAAAATATACCAATAAAGCGAGAGGTACACGATGAGGGCTTTTCGGTTAGGTTCTTCTTGCGTTTCAACTGTAATTCCGGTACAAACCGAGCGGTGAACAATCACAGAGCGGTGAACAATCACAGAGCGCACAGAGAAAGAAATTGTCTGGAGAAAAGCAATTACAACGCGTACGTCAATTTTGTCGAACTTGCAACAGGAGCCATCAACCAATGACAGCTTCTACAGGGATCTGATGGCACGTATTTCTTTTTTCCTATTTTATCCCCTATCCAACATTTCGTCATGTATTGAATAGAGAGTTGACAAACGAGAGTCAAATCGAGTTCGATAATCATCGATAAATTTCTTTCGCGACCTATAAAGTTGATCGTATCAAACAGTCAATGAAATGTTAAAAATGCACGAAAAATTTCCTTCTCTTTTATCCCAGTAAATCGAACAACATTCATGAATGTGTGGAGTGCGTTGAATGTTTCGAATATGTTAAATTTGTTATTTAACGTGTTATCTATTATGATGACGACGACGAAAGAAATAATTTTTTGTTGCAGTCGAGGTGATATTTCTAATATGGGGCATCAGATTGTGCATCGTGGTGAGAAAGACCCCGTCAGAGTTCAATGAAAGTCGATTCATCTCGATGGCGATTTACAACGAATTTCTACTATCAGTCTTCCTCAACGTCTCGATGTGAGTATTCCTTGCAATTCACCTAATCTGGTATTCTTTTAACAGTAATCCCAACTTCAAAGAGAAAACAGTCAACCCCAAACACTAATTGTTAAAATCTGCGATAACTTTCATAGGAAAAGTCATGCATCCACCCATTTTCTAACCAGATTTCAATATTTTAATGGTTTAACCGTGTTAAACAGCGGGATGTTTTGTTAGGAAAAATGAATAGATACACGAATCCTTCCTGTTTCCAGTGCATCGTCACATCTGATACATCAAATGTATCCACAGGGCGAGTAACAATAGCTGCTGCCACGAATCGTTAATTTTAATAACGTATTCTGCTGAAGCTCAGCCACATTCGCTGCGAACTGGAGCAGAACACCGGAAGCTGTTATGCCCCTGTGCAAATGCACATGTTTGAAATAAATAATGGTACGAGCGTGTACCACGATCTACTTATAGCTAGTGTATTTGGAATAGTATCGAATTAAGCCCAACGTTTCACGTTTACGTTTCACGGCTTAGGTTATGGTCATCATGGAAACAAAGCACTGATCACAATTTGATCGTCGCTTTGATACCTGCCAATAATAATCATAATACATTTAAAATACTACTCGAATACTTAAGCACTCAAATTGATATGTATTCGAGTGGTCAAGTATTGGAATTTTGTTTGAATAGACTTTGTAAAATCAAATTTCCAATTCCAAGCGAATGGCGGGAATAAAGATATCCGTATAATTGAACCAACAAATTTTTAAAGCGCATTCTACGTTGACTCAGAGGCTCGACATAACGAGAATAATATATCCGTGTCGTTCTTGGTGTTTTTGCTTGGGTGCTGAATCATGCGCATAATTATAACGAAATTCGCAAAGTCAGGAAACCATCGCAGATCCTCTGTTACTTTAGACCTTGTGACAGTGGAGTGTAACGAACAGCAAGTTGTTTAGGAAATTGGAATCTCTTGTGCAAGAGAAGACGAAAAGCAGCACTTTGGCTCTTCGTCTCATCAGGATGTCCATGTATATATAGCTGGAGAACTTTGAAGCACCAGCGCGAGCTACAAGTTTACTTCGTAATGCATGCAACCAAAGTGGAGGATTCGTTTAGGGAAAGCAGTGGAAAAAGACGAAGATGGGATAACGAAATGTGTCAAGGTCGTTCACACAGAAAAATCAGATATGCTAAGGCCATTCAAGTTAGGAAATGAAATGAATTAAGAACATTAAAGGACGGAAATGAAATATGTCAAGGTCATTCATTAGGTATCGTCAGAATTAAATTAAAGGTGACAGGACTTTTAATATTCGATATTCTAGCTCTTCAGGATTAACTCTTTACATTATCTATACACTGACAAGAAAGTTTGAGATTCCTTCGTCAAACGTTTCAGACATACATTATTGCGTCTAACAATACGCCAAATAACGTTGCTTTTCAAAGACTACACTTTTCAAAGAGTACACTTAAAATACATCACCTGATGCACGTTTACAGAGTGCTGTGGCATAGAGGGGCAAACATTCATGCAATTCTCTTTATACATCATTTTCCGACTTTCCTAATTATCTAGACACGGCGACAAAGTCCTGGGACGAAACATTTGACGAACACCCTGCGGTGGCTTCAACCCAATTACCAAGAGTGTATTACCAGTTAGACAGCAAATTAACTTAACGAGTTTGACAAGCGTTTTCACCAATAGAGCCCATTAAGGCCCGAGGTATACCTGAAACACGATAGGCAAATGTAAAAGCTCTGTCATTGATGGATAGTATCCATATTGGGGTATCAAGGACTGTCAGCGCAAGACCTGACAAGGGGAGGATCAATAGTGGTTGATTCGAATACAATTATTGTAGGGGGGTACGTGTTGACACCTATGAAAACATTGTAGGTTGATTTTATAGCATCGTTCCGCCAGTTTTAAAGTTATTAAAAAGAGGAAAGTAAAAGGTCAAATTAAATTTACAAAAGAATTATTTAAATGGACTGCAACTATTGCAACAAATATTTCATTTATTTTATAACCTGTGTATTCGAAATTATGTTTGTACAGTATATTATTCGTACAGTATAAAGGACGTTTTCTTTTGAGTTGTTTCTTCCAGCAGAGTTCAACACAGCGCCATTAGGTCCAGCGCAGTTTTTGCAGACATAGACCTAGCACCCTCCACTAATTTTATTTAAATCGATCTCTACCCTCCTTACTCTCCCCCCCCCCACTCAAAAAACGCTCCGTTCCCGTGAATGATCTTCCTCACAGGTGACAATCTTTTTCGTTGCAGGTTGTTCTTGCAGTCCCCGGCGAATCCGGATTTATTGTACGTGATATTCTTCTGTCACACCCAGCTTACCGTCACGCTGCTGCTGTGCCTCATATTTGGTAGCAAGGTAAGAACCATCAATTTTTTGTATTTATGATTCGCACCGTCCAGGATGTAATAAATTATGCGGTCGAGGCGGAATCGTGAATTCTTGGATCGCTGATCTCGCGGTGACCCTTCTCCCCTTCCATGTCCAACCTCTTGAAATTTATTTGTTCCACGGCGTGCATATTGATCATAGAAAGCATCGGGTCTGGTGCCGTGAAAGTTGTAAAGTGGCCATGCTCGAACACCGCCGGGGTAATTTATTATTCAACCCTCTGCAACAATGAAAAATGATTTTCTTCGAGAATGTCTTAACTCTCGATAGGCACGTGTAACTTTCATAGAATACAGAAATGAATACACTCGAGAAATTTCTGAGTATCTCCCCGTTGCTACATTACAATTTCCACCCCAACCCAGTGGAAGTTCAGAACACGGAACTTGCCCATTCACGATGTTCGCCGCGATTCTCGAAAAATCGTGTCTCCGTGACTGAAACTTGCCTGTTTAATGTAGGCCTACGTGGTGTTCCGTAGCGGGGGTAAGGATGAGGCGAAACACACCGGGGCCACTGGGAAATTCCTGGGGAAGAGTACCCGCCCGGCGGGCACCAGTAACCAGACCAACTCGATCTCCCTTCAACAAGGAAACTTCACCGACGAGAGCGACGGTGCCACGGTAAAAGCACTTTCAAGCGAGAAGTCCTTTCATGCTTCATTCCTTACATTCCACCACCAACCACCGTCTCCAACCCCCAAAAAGAAGAATGTAATTTCATTGATTCATGCGCCATCAAATTCTATTAATTCTTGACTCCTTTGAATGATCAGACCTTTGAGATTTTTACTCACTAAACACCCATACACCTCTACCAAGGTTACCAAGTACACCAGGAGGTCTCAACCTGAACCCAACCCAGATCTTTTCTAGATTTGCATCACATTTTCCACATCCTCCGCCAGAAATGTGTCTTTGATGATACTTTCTACGCAAATCATAAAGACTCTGACTTGAAATCTCACTATTTTTACTGAAAACCTTGCACTCTATTTCTCCTCCGATTTGATGGTTCTGGAATTCATCGTCCTTTAATTTCCCTTACTTTTCCTGACTTTGCATTCACTGTAACGATAAATACGATTGTATCATCCGTGCCTGTGCGCAAGAGAACCCCATACGTTTTGTCATACTAAGCGATCAAATATCGATAAGCAGACACCCAAATATCTGGTTCCATTGTACGAAAAGCCGATTAATAGGATTCCGTATTGCCATACGTTAATTACAGTACAAACATCTGAGATATCATTGACTATAGCGTGCAGAGGCTTACGTTCCTTGATGTAGCCTCGAATGTCCCTGAATATTACAAAGCCACCATCGTTGAATTCGATTCTACATTGGTCTGTTTGGATTTCCGTCAATGTCACCCATCTGCCTTAACTTGATCAAACACGATTGTCTCATCACTGATTGAAACCTACCTTTACCTAATCGGATCAAACAGACTTAGGATCCTACGTTTCTCTCTATTCCTCTGGAGGATTGGTTCTAATGTAAAGAGTCCAAGTCGGATTCCCAGATAATGGGTAGAGTCAGTTATAATCACTCCTAGAGACAGGCAGCTAAGATGTATTTCTGGTAGGTCTCGAAATATCTTGAAGATATAAGGTGGCAGTGGTGGCTTTGTTATTAGAGGAAAACTGAATCTACTAGAAAAAGAACAAAAGTGAAGCACACCAAAGTTTCTACTACTTACCAATTATTTTATTCTTCGTTTCGCTTCCAAATGAATGAACAGACTTGTTGGAAAACAAAATTGGTGTAACGGACAGATGCCACTGTTAAAAATCAAAGCTTTAGGACTAATTGTATGTATGATAATGTCGGAGACGCGCAACATCCTGTATAGGCGACCTGTAGAGTTCGATAACGTCGTATCCGGTATGCGATGGCCGTGCTACAATTAATAGAGGATCAGGAAGCAGCCAGGCCTCAATAGACTCCTAGCACGGTTGCGTCGTGTCCAAAGGGAGTCGGTCGAGTACCTAAGTGGGGCAAACACGCGTAAAGCATGACTACAAACATGTTTTAACGCGTTTAATGGCATCCAGACATGAGAGAGTTAAGATTGTTAACTGCAATTTACGGTGCTCCATATATGGTACGCACATGCTCTAGCTACAATGCAAGAAAGTCGATATTGTTATTATTGTTAAATTGTTACGTTCAGTTGTATACAATTCTGTTCCAGTTTGGAAAGTCCTGACAACAAAGCGCCTCACCCTATCATCGACACTCGAATATCAAAGCTGAATCCACCAAAGCTCGTCCTCACTTTTTTTCGGTGTTCCATAGAGCGTAACTTCGAGGTCGAAGCAATTTTCTAGGCTTTTTCCGACTATTCAGTAATCTTCGCCGCTCTAAAAGCTTTGTACGCGATATTTTTCACGCTACCTTTTGTCCAGGCTAATGCAACCAGTCTGAGAGCTACCTAATCGACGCAACGATTCTCGTCGCTGTTCCGACGATCTCTTTGGGGACTTCAAATAGCCTTTGACACATTCTGCGGACTCTAGCGGACTCTTACGAAATATTGAACAGATCTTTCGAAAAAAAGAAAGACAGTTTTATAATAACAAAACTGTACAATACTGTGGAAACTAAATGAAAGTGATGAAAAGTGAACGGAACTGAAGGAAACTGTATACAATTTAAGGTTAATATAGTGTAGTCCACTTCCATTGAAAGTCATCACAGCGTAGCTCGCTTTCACTCGAGGTTCCAACCCCTGTGATTCGTAGCGAGAAACTCTGTTCCATCTAACCATTTTCCACCTGCGTTCATACTCCTCGCGCGCCATTACTCTAAGCCTGCGTTTAAACTTTGATCTTTTTTCTTTATGGTTTCAGGAGGAGTTCCGTCGATTTATCAATCAACTAGAGGTCCTGAAGGAGAAGAACGTTCTACTTGGTAACCACCACTTGGTGAACAAGCTTGCAGCGATGCAAGAAGCAGCGAATCGTGCAGAGACTCGGGTATCCACAATCCAGGCGATCTCCTCCAGTATGAGACTGAACGACCTTAACGGATCCACAGCCATAGTCGAAACGGATGTAGGAGGATCCCTCCAGACCGACGGAGATCAGAAAGGTGAGATATTAACTTCAGTGTTTCTAGTTTGCATAATCGTAGCATACAGGACTAACAAAAAGAGTCATTTTATGTCTGCTTTCGATACTTGAACATTTTTGCATGCGTGCGTGCGCGTGTATAAATTGAATTTCACAAGAGTTCAAGGTAGACAAAATAAAGTGAGCAATTTCACGCACGATGATATACGAATAACATATGTACCTACCGATAAACAATCAACTATAACGGTGTCGTAATTTTGCACGGTCAGCAGTGGCATATGTTTTGACATGCGTTGGTATTTCGACAATCTACAAGCATCAGGAAGTGTGTGCGAGCTCCTTTTAAAAGTCAGTTCAGTCTGGAGAATCGTCAGTTGAACGCAAAGTTTCAATATCGCAAGATGAAAGCTTCATTCGCCCTGCTGCTGCTAGGTGTGACTATGGCGCTTGCCATACCAGTGACAAACATAGAGAAGAAGTCACTTTCCGACCTGGACCAGGAAAAAATTAACCTGGAAGAAGCTAGCGACGACACGGACAGAGAGAAAAAGGCCACCCTCTGCCTAGACATCCGTACTGGCGAACAAGGACCCTGTGATCAGCAGTCTCAATCGGCACCTCAAGTTCAGACCTTCAACTTCCAATCGGCTCCGCAGCCTATGCAGGCTATGAGTGTGATCCCAGCTCCTCAACTGATTCCGCAACAGTCCTACGTGATTCCTCAGCAGGTGGTTCCACCTATCAACACTTTGCAGATCGTCCAGCAACCTCAGCCTTGCGCACCCCAAGCGACCCTGAACATCATCGACACCAAGCCCGAGGAAGATGTAACCGAAGCTCCAGAACTAATTGAAACACCAAAGTTTGAGATCGCCACCCTACCACCCACCCCCGTCACCGAACCACCTCGTCGAGAACCATTGTCCGACTACGTCGAACAACCCTACGACGAGATGGTCGTTGTCCCGCCGAAGCCTTTGGTCGTGATGTCTGAACCAACAATGTTCGGGATCCATCATTGCCATCATCGTTCTCAACATGGTTATCCGTCTCATGTCTCTCAGTGCACCTGCAAACAACAGGCAATGGCTGCTGCCACGGCTGGCCATATGGGACCAAGTCACCTGCACTTCATGGCGATGAGGTCGAACCCTATGAGAAATTTCTACTACAACTAGGTGATCGCTGACATGCAGTAGAAGGAAACAGGTATGTCTAATCGATTTGGATTACGGTACTTGGGAAGCTGAGTACGGTGGTTTGGAAATGCATGGTGTAATACTAATTTTCTTCTTTAACAGATGCAACCCATGAAATCTGAGGGCTTCTGTGGAGATACTGTCGAAGTGATATATTGAAAATTGCTATGAGATCTTATTTCACTGTATGCATTTCTGCACAGTTTTGTTCGAATAAAAAGCAATACAAGATGATAGTGAAATTTCTTAATATTATTTCACCAGGAAACCCTACTCCTAACACCTAAACTTAGTCTACCTTGAACTCTTGTGAAATTCAATTCATCAAATTGTGATTTTGATTGTGAATTTGATGTTTTCCTTGCTATCTCGATAGAAATGATAAATAGGAATTGAACTGTGGGAATATAGTAAATTTAAATCATGTCAGTATTATCGGGGAGCATGTAGCGGTTGTGGCTTGTCGGGGATCACAGGAACTTCAGGCGGCCTCGATTGCGGAGTTGGTCGCGTTGAGGGAACTGGGTTTTGTTCTAGCAGCTGGCACTACCTTGCCAGTTCACGAAGCAATCTTAACAATTTAATCCTCCAGTGCTGTTGCTTCCATTCCTTGCGCACCTGCATTGGCAGGCTAATTAGTTATTTAAGAACTTAGCGTCGATTGGGGCTTGAAATCATGTTCCCACTGATCCTCGAGTTTCTCCATCTGGTGATTCCCTCAAGATTATTTCATTTCGAATTCGTAATATTAATAGTATCAATTGAGTAAATAATATCAATATTGTTATCGAAATACTGAGCATATTAAAATAATACTATTAGTAAAACTGTCAATATTATTATTAGTATTAATAATATAAGTAGCACCAACAATTTAAAAGTTATAATATCAAACGGTATCATACCATTTTAAAAGTTTACAGAGCGGCTTAGTGAGCGGTGCCTGGGTGCACTCATTAATTGCATGAACTGTAATTGTCTGTCCAGATACAGACCCCAAGGAGGAAAAAATATGTCAGGCCTGCGTGGAGAAGAACACCAAAGACTCTCTGGTTCCACCAGAGACAAAAAAGAGAGTGAGGACCAACGACGTCGCCGTTTCCACTTCCAGTAGGCCAGCCACCGAGGATATAGGTACAGAGACCAAGGAGGACAAAGAGGTTGAGACTAGGGACAAGAGCAAGGGCAAATCAGGCCATGCCAGGACGCACGCCATAGTAATTAACCTGGACGATAAGAGCAGGTTCTCCGAGGAGGTCACAGTCTAAGAACACCGATAGTGTCCTGTGAACTTTTTCGGTGTTTTCTAGTTCCGTGAATACAAAGAGAATAAAGGAGCTCAACAGTGAGGATTCCGCTTCTGAAAACATGAAATTTCAAAGACTTCGGCGGAATCTTGGTTCAGTGTTTGTGTGTTGTTGCACCGTTTACCATTTTCTATCAGCTGGAAGCGTTCCCGAAACAATGTACATTTGTAATTGGCAAATTCGTTCAGGGACACTTGAGCAGACACTTTGAAAACGTTGGTCAAAACTACGATAATCGACGAAAAGCGAGTAATAAAATTTTCATCGAAACCCGTTCCTGGAATGGGGACCGGGGCTGAGGGGGTGTAGAAGAAACGACGATGGTAGTTTGAAGGGTATGAGAATTATTTTCTGCAGCACGACTTTGCTTTTCCACCATTCTCTCAGTTTTTGCACGAATGGCATTTGAACACTCACGGTATGGAAATTTTTAGTCTTTCAAACACTCAACGAAGAAATGAGAGAAGAGCGCTTCTTCAACGTTCGTTTTCAGAATGGAAAAGAAACAAAGTTCCAAGAAAACGCGAACTCATCCACCGCGTAAACGTTTGCTTTTTTTTTGAAAAACCGTTTGTAGAAATATGCACAGCTGATCTCGTCCCGGATAGAAAAGTTCTGCCATTTTTCAGCACCCTAGTTTTGGTTTTGTTGGCATCCATGAATCTTGAACCGTTTACACGATAAAAAATAAAAAGGAAGAAACAGAATCTATGGAAATTATTCGCTAACAATGTCTATTTCCATTACTCGTTTGGGACCCAAGAGAATTCGTTTTACGAGTCATAAAATTATGACAAATGGATTGAAATGGACGGAGATCATACTTGCAAATATAATGAATCCAAGGTGTCCGCGCTGAAAGAATTTGTTTAATAATACGCGATTTTTTATGCCATAAAAGAGTCCTCGTAGTTAAATCGAGGAATTTTGGATACTGCTACATTTCATTCTGTAAATATCACTTTAGCCGCTTATTCGAGGTCTTCTGACGTATTTCTAAGTCGATTTGTAAATAGTTAAACCGCTCTTCGTGGACGAGATGCAGCGAAACCGATCGATGCTGAGAGACGATGATTCTCGCTAGGGATGTTTGATTTTCAATCAATTTTCTAGACAATTGTTTTATTTAATAATAATAACCAAGTATGAGTTGGGGGGACAATGTTTGAAAAAATGATTGAACACATAGATTCTTGAGTTTATTTACCAGAATTGATCATCCCTAGTGTCTCTTTAGCTTTCGTCATATCAGTCCAAATTGTAAATAAATTGTAAATAAAATCACACGACGTGAGTTCACCGGTAAATTAACGATCGAGTTTCATTGTTAAGATCGTGCGTTAGATTTATTCAACGAGTCCGTTGGTAGTAGAGCGTTGACGAATGGCTAATGTCATTTGAGAAAGTTTGAATGCACCAGTGGCACATTCATTGAAATTTATGGTTAATTGAAAATTTCTTGGCCGAATGGTGTGTGGACCAGCTGGACTGCGGAGGGATTATTTATTAATCCGAGTTGAACAGTTGCAAATTGTTAATTGGCAGAGCGGTAAGTGCACTTGCTACACCAGTGGAGAATAATTATGACCACAACTTAGAGACAGGAATAGAGGGTGTCTATCGATCGCACCAGGTTACGAAAATTGTGATATTTTTAGAAGAAACACTGTTTGATACCTGGATTAAAGCAGCTGTTCTACGTGGTGTCTCAAAGCAAACGGATAACCATTGAATTTGAACGCTTTAAACTTCTGTTGAGTGAATTTTTGCACGTTTCAAAATTTTATTAAAGTTTCGTACCAACAGAATTTATTGTCTAATATCTGACATTCGTGAAACAGTGTCTCATTTTCAGCGACCTGAACTTTCGGTGGTCCCACGGGTTATTCTCCCTATTTTCATCGAACGGTTCCTCCGCGTACCCTCGTGGTATAGCGAGCTTATCGCATATTTATTCATTATCTGACCCATGGGAAAGGGCAATGGTGGTGATAACATGAGCAAATGATTCACAGTTGATCGGCTCTGCGTGAATTCGAGTGTAAAAGCAACCCTTGAGGAAATGTGTGAATAACAATTTAGATCGATAGGGCCATTGGTCCAATTGTTGGTTAATCGTCGGCATTCTCCATTCGTCAACGTCACACTGGGACTCTACGTGTTAAGTAAACGATTTAATTATGCATATCGGTCCCAGAGAGGCTTGATCCTCTAGGAGAAGAGAGGGTACTCTCTGTAATCATCGGGAAACGATTCACTGGCATCGATGGGGACACTTCCAATCAGAATCCTCTCGCCAATCCCTAAGGACTCGGTGGGTGAAAGGGTGGATTTCTATTTGTGTAGTTCACCTGCCATGAGGACAGGCGTGGACGTCTAGTATTTGACACTCGTCGCCTCACGCGTTTAGGATGACAAAGATAGAGTTGACAGATGGGTATGGAAAAGAAAGCATGTTGACAAGCCCAAAAGAAACATCTCTTATTGATACATAGATATTGAACTTCTAACAAGAAAGGAGTGACTAGCATATTGGGAATACATGAAGGTTCATAATTAGACTGCGGATTTTATCCATTCATGGCGTACAGTAATGATGGAAAACATACAGAAAATATACATGATTTTTGAATGAATATAATAACATTATTATATCGTTTTGCCCAAGTGCGCATACCTTTTGGTTATGTTTAACACGTATTTATTATACGAGCTTCTATCATGAATGGACAAAATCCGCAGTCTCTGATGAATGAAAGCAATGATCTTCTCTAATACTTTTACATACATAATTTATCGAAATCTACTTTTAAATATACTAATCAAATCGAAAATGATGTTTGAAATCCAGGTCGCAAAGGTTAAGACAAAATTATTAAGTTAAAAACTAATAAATAACTACGAGCGATGGAATAATGTACGAGTATTCAAATGAGTCGAGAACAAGTTGACAAATAATACATTATGATAAAACATATCCGTACAAAAAAAAAAGTTGCAATTCAGAGCACCTCCCAATTATTTAACGAGCTAAACTGCTCTGAATAGATTACAATCTTTTCATGTCGCACGCCTAGATAAAAAGTGGCGGCTGTGGGTACTTCCTGAACTAAAATTGATCTCTTCAGCTAAGGGGTTAATCTAGCCACGCTATCGTTTTCAAAATTGCTTAGCTTTTAACCCTCTTCGACGAATAGAACTCAGAGACGAAATCGAATCCCGAGGATAGCTCTATCTAAAACGAAATCACGTTGGGGACGTGTCACCTTTGAGGTACTTTTTTGAACAACGTGCGACAAGATTGATGCGGTGTACTCGCACGCCGCGCGTCGTGCAAAATTCAACCGTGGAACGGGGAATCCCCAGTGTACACGCGATTGTATCTCGCAAACATCTCGATTCGCGTTGCTTGATTCCGAAACATTTAATTTTCGTTTGTATTGCTTTATATTTTTATTTTGTAAACTACTTTTCTACATTTTTTCGAAGGTTTGCGTGATGGATTCTATACTGTCTCTTTAACGATATTTTTGTTGGCGCAAACCTGTGGAACATGTATACAGAGGGTTTCAAAACTACAGGTAGGAATTTGTATACAGGGTGGACCAAGTACGTGTAACAACAAGGCATAATTTCGTTTGCAGTCCGTTTAAAATCCAATCCAATAATATCATGCAACGATACCTTTGGGCTTGTAAAGTTAGAAATTTGAAATTTCTGAAGATTGGAATTTATATTCATCATGAATTGTCCGGTTTTAATTAATTATGCAAATAGACTTCGTTAAAGCTGCGTATTCCTTTAAGTACTTGAATTTCCATTAATGATCGCCATATAATTTTTTTACCGATTACGCTTGAATTAAGTCTTAAACTAAATCGAAATTATCTCTAATTTGGCTTCAACCTGGCCACTGTTCGACAATTTTGCGAAATTGTCATCAGAGTATATATCGACAGCAATTAACGTTTATCCAATTATCAATTTACATCCTCTCCAGTGAAAGGGTAGTTCGTTTGTTTTCAATTAGTATGAAACAACGTGGATTATTTGTACCAGAATAATAAGAGAACAAATATTTTTCGCAGCGCTAATTCACTTTATGCCAAATTCGAAACTAGCCGCGCAACAGAATATAAAATAGTCTGCCATAAAAATCGCGTTTAAACGAACTACAAAGAACCGCGATTTTGATAAAAATTGTGTGACCGACTGTGCGGAATTACAAAATTTGTTCCTGGCGATAAAAATTACAGCAATGTCGTAATTTCATAAAATCCAAAGGAAAGTAATTACTAGGAACTTGAACTTGTCAATTTTTATCAAAGTCGTAAGACGAAGGCGAATGATGAAAGATGAATGTGTATTAATATTTAGCGATGGGAATTTAAGGTCCTTTTTCAAGTTATGTCAGAGTTAATATTTCTTGAAATGTCAATGATTTGCAATCTGAATTTTAATTGCTCAAATATTCCCAATATTACTTCGAAATTTCAATTTTTCAAAGTATACGTGACTCTATTCATTTTTTTAAGTAATCTATTTAAAATGTTATCATATTTGAAACTTCCGAGTTCTATACAAATTGTCCATTTACTTGTTTCAATTAAAAAAATGCGTAAAATTAATATTTTTGCTGATTATTTTTCGAATCAATTATACTTAGACAAAGTGACCAGCCTTGTTATTGTCACTTTCAAATTTTTTGAAAGCTTTTACGTCAACGAAGCGATTAGAACGTTTCAATTCCATCCTTTTCATCTGGTTCTCAACTTTTCCCCGTGTATTCTCGCTGTTTTCGCGTAATTCCATTAGCGTTCACCTTTTTTCTTTATTTTCTGTTCCTCAAGCTGCAGCAGTTGCAAAGTTTTTCAACTCTGACAAACTTGAAAACTCTTAAACCACTCTGGAAACGTCTCCAATACTCCGATGTATAATTTATTCGAGACCTTGATTCCTACAAAATTGTTTTATTCTCATCGTTTCGCGTTTAATAAATATACGAGTACAGTAAATACCGTCTTTGTGATGCTTACGAGTCCTTAAATTACGAAGAGGACAACACGGAGCACCAAGAAGACAAAATCGACCGTAATAAATATATGTACATGTTGTTATTATTCGATCGATCGTCGAGTAACTTCGAGTATGTGGGTTCTGTCCTAGGGTAATTCTGTCCTAGGCTGATTTTATGGAAACCAATTTTATGCGACATCTTTGTCTGTACTTGGGCGTGCCTGACGGGCAAGCGTGTCAATAAATAATTAAATAAATAAGAGATTGAAACCTCATCCAGCCTAATTATTTTACAAAAATCAGATCCACTCCTCCCAATGTTTCACCCGAAGTCCTTAGGAACTTTTAAGGAAATATAAGTACAATTCTCAATTTTATTTTATACTCCCGAGTGCTGTCAAAGTAAAAGAAAAATGAAAAAACAAGCGTTATTCAACTTTTGAGCGGCTCTCGGGAATCCCACCTAGAAAACGATGTCACAATGTCACGCGACGACAGCGTTTAATTTTTCATGGCTAGATAATTAACTTGTTGTTGGGAGACACCACCGATAAGCTTCGAATCGAATGACAATAGCAATTAGCGGCGGTACAGGCAATATACCCTGATTAATTTCGCGCGTGGTTGTACCGTTTGGCGTTATACCGCAGTTATACAGCCCGCATTAAAATTGATTATGCAAATTAGATGCATTTCTCGGGGTGGATTCCGCTTGCGTGATTCAATAAGTGGCACGATTGTTGCCATTGGTGTCTCCAGGACGTTTCACAATTACACCTTCAAGTTACACCATGATCATTGATTTAGTGATACGGCCTATCAAGGCGACAAATCTCCTGGCGAACGTTCCTCATCAAAATAACTTACCCAACCTGATAAATAATTCACCCCTGTACTTGCTATTATTATTCCAGTAAGTCGATCGGATTCTTTCGATGCGGTTCACTTGAAATTTGTTGAAAGTACGTACACGATGAGTTGCAATAGCATAAAATGTGCGCATATGCACATCTGTAGCTGATTGTCAGCTTGGTGAGACCATTGGTAATAATTAATAGGGGAGAAATTTACGAAATTCGAGGTGAGGATTATTATTATTAAGCCATGCAGAGACACGATGCAACGAATTATTTGAACTGTGTCGTGACGAGCGCATTTAGTTGGGGCAGAACTGTTTTGTTCGAAGTGAACTGTTGCCTGTAACGGACACATTTGCGAATTCGTACTGGATCACTGGTTATTGGAATTTTAAATCCGGCAGCCTGGGAATTATATTCATATAAGTTTCCGCGCAGAGTTACAAGCTTCCAGGAACGACATTTCAAATTTGTCTGCACATTTGATATAGGACAGGTTCCATCTGTAATTAAAATATTTCTCTAGTGTGTCATCTTCAGAAAGTCAATTTTGATATTCATTTTTTTTAAGTATTAGGTGTAGAAGTTAATTCAGTGCCTCTCTAATCTACCTAAACTTATGATTTAATTATAGTGAAGCCACACTAAGCTTGTACCTTAGAGTTATAAATTACAATTTCCTATTTTATTTTTTCTAACAGAGCGTTTCTTTACAGCATCGAAAACTATTTCCCACGAATTGTTTTCATATGTAGTCCGTTTCTATGCGCAAAGGCTGGCAAAATGATTGCACAGTTTGTCCAGTTAGAATTCGTTTTCAATCATTAGAAAAACAGTCCACGCGCTCGTGTCACATATATCTAATGGCCAACCGGTGTTTTACGACCCGGAAGAGACTAAAAGACGCTTTTAAACTCGTTCATGCCTCAAAATCAATAAACCAAGTGGTATCAGT